GTAGGGGCGGCGACAGGGCCGCGTAGGGAGGGGAGCGGCGACGGGGCCGCTAGGGGCGGCGACGGGGCCGCGTAGGGGCGGCTACGAGGCCGCGTAGGGGCGGCGACGGGGCCGCGTAGGGAGGGGAGCGGCGACGGGGCCGCTAGGAGCGGCGACGGGGCCGCGTAGGGGCGGCGACGGGGCCGCGTAGGGGCGGCAACGGGGCCGCGTAGGGAGGTCAGCAGCGACGGGGCCGCTAGGGGCGACGACGGGGCAGCGTAGGGGCGGCTACGGGGCCGAGTAAGGAGGGGAGCGGCTACGGGGCCGCTAGGGGCGGCGACGGGGCCGCGTAGGGGCGGCAACGGGGCCGCTAGGGGCGGCTACGGGGCCGCGTAGGGGCGGCAACGGGGCCGCGTAGGGAGGGAGGCGGCAACGGGGTCGCTAGGGGCGGCGAGAGGGCCGCTAGGGGCGGCGACGGGGCCGCGTAGGGGCGGTGACGGGGCCGCTAGGGGCCGCGAGGGGCCTGGAAGGGCGGCTACGGGGCCGCTAGGGGTGGCGACGGGGCCGCTGAGGGTGGCGCGAGGGGCCGTGAGAGGGGCCTCTAAGAGAGGTCGACAGAAGGGCAGCCCACAAGGCGCGCCTCGGGCAGGAGCGACTGTCGCTCCGGTCAGAAAAAAAAAGTTTCAGTGGTGGGCCCAAGGAAGCGTTCCCACTAGGGAACCTGCTCTTATACCATGTGAAGAAATGAGGAATGAATGAACTAGCAAGCAGGTGGGTACAAGTAGGAAAACCTAGAAATGTTGTACCCCATATAGTGTTCCGCACTACAGCCTACACAGACTATAGCATATAAGTTTGACAGCGACGGGGCCGCTGAATGGCGGCGACGGGGCCGCTGAAAGGGCGGCGATGGGGCCGCAGAAAGAGGCGGCGACGGGGCCGCTGAAAGGGCGGCGATGGGGCCGCGGAAAGGGGCGGCGACGGGGCCGCTGAAGGGTGGCGACGGGGCCGCTGAAGGGCGGCGACGGGGCCGCTGCAAGGGGCGGCGACGGGGCCGCTGAAAGGGCGGCGACAGGGCCGCTGAGAGGGCGGCAACGGGGCCGTTGAAAAGGGCGGCAGGCGGCGACGGGGCCGCGAGGGCGGCGCGACGGGGCCCTAGGACGGCGCGACGGGGCCACTAGGGGCCGTGAGAGAGGCCGCTATAGGCTACTAAGGGGATCCACACGAGGCGCGACTCGGGCAGGAGCTAAGCGCGCTCCGGGCAGGAAAAAAAAAGTTGATATTCGGTGGGCCCTAGGAACAGTTCCCACGAGGGAACCTGCTCTATACCATGTGAAGATTAGAACGAGAATGAATGACTAAGGAATTAAAGAGATACAAATATGAAACCCTAGAATTGTGTACCCCTTAGTGTCTAGCCCGCTACAGCCTACACAGGCCAAATCATATAAGTTTGACACTGTCGACCTCACGCCACGTCGCGACTTCACTTCTTTGATCGGGACCTCCTCGACGACGCTGTCGTCGGACTGCTCCCCTGCCGACAACTCCCCTTTCTTGCCACCAAGGACCTCTACGACGTCGCTCGACGCGCCATCGTCGAGCTGATCCAGGATACTTGGCTCCCCTGCCGACTTCGCCTCTGCCGACTCCTCTGCCGACTTCCCTGCCACCTTCTCCTCTGCCGACTCCTCTGGCGATTTCGTCTCTGCCTACTTTGTTGACTTCTCCTCTACTGTTGGTGGCTTTTGCACATGGCCGCCGAGGTGCATTTCGTCACGTCGGGCCGCTAGCGATGCCACTGGCGGGCGCCGAAGGCGACGCAACAATCCTCCCCTCGTCGCCGGTGGCCGACATCGACGCCGTCTTTGGCAGATGAGCGGCAAGAGGCAGAGGGGAGGTAGAAGTGGGAGTAGAGGGAAGAGGGGTCGTCGTCGACAAGGGATCCGTCGTCGCAAAACTGGGCAGCGCTTCGCCTTCAACACCTCCAACGACATTGTTTCGTAGAAGATGGCTTCTACGGTCGTCACCACCTTGTTGTCGGTGAGGTCGAGCACCTCCCAGCCCTTGCTCTCCGGCGACACACCTATATGAAGCCCCCAGCGGGCCTTTCCCACCATGCTGCTGCTCGGGGACCATGGACTGCACCATGCAGCCCCACAAGAGCGCCAGCGTCAGGTCCGGTTTCTTATCGAACAACAGCTTGTGCGGCATTGTCCCCTAAGGCAGAGACGCCCGTTCAAGGCAGTTGCGCACCCAGAGAGCCTGTTGAAGAGCAAGGTGCCACCAGTGGTGCTTCACACCAATGTGAAGCAGCATTTTCCGCACAGTCTCAACGACCGTACACATCTCCCGCTCCGCCATCCCGTTCTGCTGCGGAGTATAGGGGCACATTAGGTTGTGAAGGATGCCCTTGTCTTTGACGAGGTCGGTGAAGGCTCGACCCAAGAACTCCCCTCCGCGGTCGGAACACAACATTTTCATCGTCTTCGATGTCTTCCTCTCTACCACCTTCAACCACTTTTCGCAGACGATCAGCACATCGCTCTTCTTCGCGATCGGACTTACCCACACGTAACGAGTCTTCCTGTCATTCAGCAGAAAAAAGTAGAGGCTCCCATCGTTGGCGGCCACTCGAAACAACCCCTAGAGGTCGATGTCAACCACGTCGAGCGCGTTCCCGGCATCAGATCATTGGTCGGGAAATGTATGCCGCGCGGGGTGCTGCGAGGGATGAGGCAAATAAAATCGTTTGCTGTGTTCCAAACCTACTAGGCATAGAAACGGGTTTGGAGCCAAAATTGAGGTGTCACTGAAATCTCGAGAGTTGTCCAAAGTCACATATATCTTAAATTTGTTTGCAATTGGTGCTGAGGCAAAAGAGGACTGATCACGCCAACTTCCCTAGCCAACTAGTTCACATCGCCCACAAAGACAGGGTAACTCAGGCTTCTGTTGAAGATATTAGGCAGAAAGATTGAACACAAAAGAGGGGTTGCACTAGCAAGCAGTTGAGTACATATAGGAAACCCTAAATTGGGTTGTACTCGCTATAGAGTACCCCACTGCAGGCTAGACAAATACAACATTCTGATACACCCCCATAGCCAAAGTGGGATGTAATCAGCACAACAAGTAGGCAGAGCAATAGTTCACAATAATAAGCAAAGCTAGAGGCTATCTTAGAGGGCAAGTGAGGAGGAGGAGAGACTGTGGGGGCGAGAAGATGGGAGGCGACGGCTGAAGCTACAGACACACTATAACGGCTGGCTCAGTGGCTGCCGAAGGAAAGGCCCGGACTTCAGGAGTAACTGGCTCCGCGGCTACGCCGGAGATTGTAGCCTCCGGACTACTGGCGGCTGGAGCAACTGACCCACGGGCGACTGGCGACTACCAGAGATTGTAGCCTCCGGACTACTTGCGCTGCGGATGACAAGACGGCTACCTCCACTCAACCTCCCCCAGCTGTCCCACACCCCTTTCACAAACCCCCTGCTGTTCCTCTAGCACTGCACCCACGATACCCCCCTAGCGCCACGCCCGCGGCTCCCACACATCCACCCCCCTCATCGGCAGCTGCAGTAATGGGAGACGGAGGAGGAGGAGCAAGTGGCAACGCACACACCCGCCACCCCCATACCCGCCACCCCCGCAGTTGCACAAGGGCAGGAGGCGGCAGGGGCGGCTCGCGGGCTGCAGGGGCGGTTCGCGGGCTGCAGGGGCGGGTCGCGAGCTGCAGGAGGGGCAGCGCGCGGGCCCCCGAGGGCGCCACGACGGGCGACGAGAGGGGGGGCCGCGCGCAGGCCCCCGAGGGCGCCTCGACAGGCGACGGGAGGAAGGCCGCGCGCGGGCCCCCGAGGGCGCCACGACGGGCGATGGGAGGGGGCGACGCGCGGGCCCCCAGGGCGCCGCGACGAGGCGACGGGAGGAGGCGACGCGCGGGCCCCCAAGGCGCCGCGACGAGGCGACGGGAGGGGGCGGCGCACGGGCCTCCAAGGTGCCGCGACGAGGCGACGGGAGGGGGGGGGACGCGCGGGCCCCCAAGGCGCCGCGACGAGGCGACGGGAGGGGGGGACGTGCGGGCCCCCAAGGCGCCGCGACGAGGCGACAGGAGGGGAGGGCGGCGCGTGGGCCGACGGGGTAGGAAACCGCCGCGCGCCTCGGGGCGCACAGCGGGAAGAAAACTGCCGCACACCCCGAGCGCGCGGCGGGTAGAAAACCGCCATGCGCCCCGAGCGCGTGGCGGGAAGAAAAAACGTCACGCGACACGGGGCGCGCGACAGAGAGGACAGCAGCGAAAGCTAACGGTGGGCCTACAGGCCAGGAGCGTGATCGCTCTGATAGCATGTTGAAGATAGTAGGCAGAAAGTTTGAACACGAAAGAGGGGTTGCACTAGCAAGCAGTTGAGTACATATAGGAAACCCTAAATTGGGCTGTACTCGCTATCGAGTACCCCGCTGCAGGCTAGACAAATACAACATTCTGACAGCTTCAAGTGTTTTACAGTTGATGGCAAATTTCTTTTACTTGAGACACTGCCATAATTCACGAAAAAACACCTCATGATCTTCGAGACTCGGGTACGCCTATCGATGACGCGAAATTAGTATGTTGCGTTTTGAACTCATGTGCAAAGCACGCGTGCCACACGAACCCTGACACGTCCCGAATGTGTCAGGCTAAATTGTTGAATCTCAAATCGAATTTCCGATTTTACGTATTTCTAACGTGGTTACAGGAGATATTCTGGTAACAGGTACTAGAATGAATATAATCATTGGTTGGATGACACGCCCTAACATCCTACCAACCCACCCCCTGAAAGTGAACAGCAAAAACCCGAAACCCGAGGCGAGGAGGGCTTATCAGACAACATCGTTCGGATCCTTGCTCCTTTCTACCGCGTTCTGCACGGACGTGGTACAAGCAGAGCTGCAGATCCAGCTACAGGCGAGCTTGTTATAACTAACTAGCGTGGATTGAGCCTGCATAAATTAAACTAGCGTGAACCAATTACGCCATGGCGGGCGGCGGCGCGAGGACGCAGAAGAACAAGGCGCACAAGTCGCGCTTCGGCGCCAAGAGCCAACGCGCGTTGCACAAGGTCGCCAAGGGTACGCCCGTAGTGCCGCCGGAAGTGTCGCCCGTAGTGTCGCCCGTAGTGCCTCCCGTAGTGCCGCCCGTAATACCGCTCGTCCGCTCGTTGCTCGCATTTAAGTCGCCTCAGCGGTCCATTCAATAGTTGACTCAAGCGTCACCAAGGGTGGGCTCCTATCGCTCGTCCGCTCGCCGCGCCTCTCTTGTGACGTCACCGCATCGCCATCGCTCGCTGCACCGCTTACGACGATACTCGCAATAACGAAATCGGCGTGTGAAACCGCGAGCGTCAGCGAAACCAGTCGAATATTTTTCCAGCCTCTAGCACCGCTCGTCACGCTACACCCACTCCCTCCCTGGCCAACGTTGCGCTGCTGCAACCCGATGCAACCCGTTGAAAACCCGTTGCAACCCGTTGAAAACCCGTTCGTTCTTCCGCGTTTTGCCCTCCAACCTGGACGTGGTTGGATCCCCCCAAATGTTTCCCCCAAATGCTTCCCCCAGATTCTTCCCCCCAAATTCTTCCCCCCAAAATGCTTCCCCCCAAATGCTCCCCCCCAAATGCTTTCCCTCAAATTCTTCCCCCCATATTCCGCCCCCAGCGTCAGACGGCGGAGCAGCAGGGGCAGCGCGCGGGGGCGCGAAGGGCAAGGGGAAGGGCCATGGCGCCGTCGCGAAGGCCGAGAGGCTCAACCGCAACAAGCTGGTACGATAGGGTTACCAGCAGTTCGCATGGCTGGAGTTTCGTATCCAGGAAACAGGGCAGGCCAGGAGAGCAGGGAAGCAGGCCAGATGGGTCAGGGGCAGGCTAAGAGGGAGGAGGGCTCACCAGGGGGGCAGGCTAAGGCTCGCAAGGGGGCAGGCCAGGGGGTCAGGCTAGGGGGGCAGATGAGGGGGGCAGATGAGGGGGGCAGATGAGGGGGGCAGATGCGGGGGGCAGATGAGGGGGGCAGATGAGGGGGGCAGATGAGGGGGGCAGATGAGGGGGTGGAGCAGCAGCCCCTGGCGGCGCTGGCAGTGGCGCATCAAGGGCGGAGCCACTCGCTGGTTGCTTTTCTTGTGCTCGTTGCAGTCTCGGGGATAACCCGAGGCGAGGAGTTTTGCGTCCAGAGGAGTGTCGCGAAGGTTCAGGGTTTAAGTCTTTGGCCGGTGAATGGGTTTTACACAACTAATATTCAAGATCCAGGGTTTAGGGCTCCTGTCGCCAATTCTTCTTCTCCTCTCCTATCGATCCCCTTCCCCCCTCTCTCCGTGTCCCTCCATCCCCGTCGTCACAAGCCACTGTGCTACCCGTACACCCTCCCTCCCTTCCCCAAGCGGGCGGACGTGCTGGCGGCCAAGAGAGCTCTATCTATCCGTTCATCCCTTCTACCCGTTCATCCCTTCTCCCCATTCATCCCTTCTCCCCCCCTCCCTCCCAACCCCTCCCCCCCCCCCCCACCATCCCCTGTCGTCTCCCTCGCAGCTGCGGGACAGCAAGCGGGCAAGTGTGCTGGCGGCCAAGCGGGCACTCTCTGCTTCCTCCACGCCGCCCCGCGTCGTGGTGAGTCGCCCCGCGTCGTGGTGAGTCGCCCCGCGTCGTGGTGAGTCGCCTCGCGTCGTGGTGAGTCGCCCCGCTCCGCAGGCGCGAGCTGGGCCTGTTAAAATCTGCAATGGTGAGTCGCTCCCCTGAGGTCAGGTAAGTCGCTCCCTTGAGGTCAGGTAAGTCGCTGCCCTGAGGTCAGGTGAGTTTATATCTGCAACGGGGTGAGTCACGTTGCCCCCCTGAGCCGAGATGAGGGGAGCTTGAAGCGGCCGTGAGGAGTGTATGTGGGGCATATTACTTCGGTGGTGAGTCACCCCTACGGGTCGAGGTGAGGTGAAAGAACGAATGGAACTGTGAGGGCAAGTAACGTGCGTGAACTCTCGAGTGAGTGACATTGGGTCGTTGCGGTAACTGGCCTCTCTCAAGTCAGTCCTTAGCCTCCTCAGGTGCAGCAGTGAGCTCACCTCACCTCCGCTGCAATGGTGAGTCCAGTCCAGTGCACCTTTGCTTTGTCAAATCTCCCCCCCCCCTCCCCCCCCTAGCTTGCCAGGCTCAATGAAAACCACCCTCAAGTCAAGCGGGCCTTGTGACTCAACGCTGCCGTGGATCGCTAGGCTCAGTGAACACACCCTGAGTCCAGTGGGGTTCGAGGTGTGGATGGGTCCTCTCGACGCCCCCACTCCTCCACGTCTCCACTCCACTCCTTCCTCACTTCGCCTTTACTCCCCAACCCAACCCCCTTCTCCTCCCACCACCCCCTTCCCCCCGTCCCCCTTCTCTTCTTGCATCCCCCATCCAATGTTTTCCCGCCCCCCACCCACCCCTATGTGTGGCAGCTGCTGATTGGTTTATCTCGCCAGGTGGACGTGGCTCACCTGGCAGATACGTTCGTTGAGGCATGCGCTGCTTCAGGTGCCACTCAGGTGGGTCTCTGCTGTCTTCAGGTGCCACTCAGGTGGGTCTCTGCTGTCTTCAGGTGCCACTCAGGTGGGTCTCTGCTGTCTTCAGGTGCTGTCGCGTCACCCATGCCCTCGTACCGTGCCTTCCTTGTAGCTTTCTCCTATCGTTTTGTTCATCCTTCAGCCCTCCTATCTCCCATCTCCTGCAGTTCTTCTTTCTCCCCTCTCCTTCACCCCTCCTACCTCCCATTCTCTGCCTCTGCTCCTCATTCTTTGCCACTCCTCTCCTCTCTTTCCCTCCCACTTTCTTCCCATCTCTCACTATTCCAAACTTGAGTATATCCTGCATCAACCGAAACTCTTATATCCCCCTTTTCCTACCCCCCAACCCCATTCAATTCCAAACCCTCACATCTTCTCTCCCCCTTCGCCCCTTTCACCCAAATCCTGACCCCCCTCACCCCATCCCAACCCCCCTTCTACACCCGCTTCCCCCCTTGCAGTCTGCAGGCGCCCAAGCAGCAGCAGGGCAGGGAATGGAGGTGGAAGGGGGCCATGTGGAGGGCAGTGTGAAGGCTCAGGGAGTGGGGGGGGTGCGCCTGGTGGCTCTGTCCAAGCTCAGGGCGCGCTTTGCTGTGAGTGCTTTGCTGTGGTGTGGTGATTTTGCTTTGTGCGCTTTGCTTTCACTCTCAGCTGTGTCAGCCATAAGGGGAGTGGGTGGTTGAGGGGAGGAGGAATGGGGAAGTGGGGAGTGTGGGTGTCATGACATGACATGACCGTTCACACTTGCGACACTTCGCTTTCCTGTAAGCTGTCACTTCTTCTCTTTCCTGTAAGGCTGTGAGTTCGTTTCCTTCCCGCCTGCTGGCACAATGAAGTTCGTCTTCCTTTGAGGCGCCTCCTAAAATCTGCTGGCTGGCTCCATTCAGATTAGTATAGAGAAGATTCTCTTGTTTTCTTTCTGTCAGTTTGAGTTGTTTTCTGCTTCTCGCCTTACTGAGCCTTACTTGAAAACAGCTCCATATTCTCTTTGGCCTTGCCCAGTCTTGTTTGCTTGCTGCTGGTGTGTCTGCTGTGTCTGTTTAACAGCACTCGTTGTTTGTCAGGTGTAGTGACGTGGTTTGTTTGTTGCGGGTGTGTGCCGCATGCTTTTTCTCTCAATCATGCCTTATTGTACCCCCTTTCTCACTCGCTGTTTGGTCAGGTGCAGTGATGTGGTTTGTTTGGTGTGGGTGTGTGCTGCGTGCTTTTTCTCTCATTCATGCCTTATTGTACCCCCTTTCTCTCCATCTCGTTCCCCTTTCCGCCCTTCCTTCTCCCGTTTCTCTCCTATTCTCCTCATTGTCTCCTCTGCTCATCTCATCCTCATCTTCATCTGCATCCCTCTTCCGCCAATTGCCCAGGTCGTGCCGTGTCCTCCAGGGGATCTTCTGCGATGCCTCGAGCTCATCAAGGTGATTATCTTCTCGCCTTGATTTTCTCCATGAAATTATGCTAGTTGTATTTACGGGCCTCGAAAGTGGGCAAACAGGGTACCAGAAGGTGAAGCATAGGCTAGAACAATGGGGACTTCAAAGGAAGACAGCTTGAGGGGTAAAAGATGAGAACTTTTAAACTTTCGATGCTCAATTCCTCTTCCTCCCCTCCAGTTCTCCTCCATCTCCATTATCCTTATCATATTTCTTTTCAACGAGATCCCATTCCTTCCTTTGATTGAACTTCCTATACCTCCCTTTCTCCTCTCCTCTCTCCCTCTCGGCTTATCCACTGCTTCCTTGTCCCTCGTTTTCCCAACAAATTTCTACGCCTCCCACTGAGCCCTCACCGCTTTCACTGACCTTCCCACCCCCTTTACGGAGGCTCCCACCCTCTTTACCGAGCCTCCCGCCCCTTCTACCGAGCCCCCGAAGGGGCGGGGGGCTACGTAAAGGGGGTGGGAGCCTCCGTAAAGGGGGTGAGAAGGTCAGTGGAAGGGGCGAGAGGCTCAGTGGGAGGTGTAGAAACCTGTTGGGAAAACGAGGGACGAAGAAGCGGTGAATAAGCCGGGGGGGAAGGAGGAGAGGAGAAAGAAAGCTAGAGGAAGTTCAATCAAAAAAAAGAGGCGGGACCTTGTTGAGAAGAAATAGGATAAGGATAACGAAGATGGAGGAGAACTGGAGGGGAGGAAGAGGAGTTGAACGTTGAAAATTCAAAAGTTCCATCTTTTTCCCCTCAAGCTGTCTGTCCCAACGATTATAGCTTGCCGAAAGGTCTCATCACTAAAAGCTCACCCCATTAGATTCATCTCGTTGACGTGGAAATCTTCAATTTCATCATCTTGTGGCAAGCGTCTTATTTAGGAATTCTCACAAAAATCCATCCAACATCACCCCTCTCGACCCACCCCCTTCCCTGCTTGCCTTCACACTAGTCTCCTACTAACCCCTCTCACTCAAACGCTCTCATCTTTCTTCCCTACCTCCAGTTCACCAATGCAATCATCTCCCCATCTCCCTCTCATCACGCATTTTGTCCCCCTCCTGCCAAAGAGTTGACTTTTGAGTCAACTCAAAAGTCACCTCATCTCCCTCCTATCGCCCATTTGACCCTTCCCCCCTGCCAAAGTCATCATCATTATTTCCACAAGAACCCGGTCCCATTATAAGTAATAGCCCTCTATTCCTTCATTAATAACCCCCCCCCCCCCCCCCCCCCCCCCCCCCACTCCCATATTGCAGACGCGGTAATTTTTGCATCTACAATTTGGTTGACTAAAAAATTCACCTCCTAAACCTCTCTACCCCTCCTTCACCCCCTTTCCCCACCCCCTCCTCCTCCGCACTCCCAGATCGCAGACGTGGTAATCTTCGCATCTACAATCGCCCCCATCGACCCCCTCCCTCCCACCACTCCGTCAGCCCTCTCCACCTCCTCGCTCCACACCCATGCCACCTCACACTCCCACACTCACTCCCTGCGCACCACTACCACCAACAAATCCTCTGCCTCCGCCTCCTCCCCTTCGTCTGCGGCCTACATTGACGACTGGGGCCGCTCAGCCCTCTCTGTGGCCCGGGCGCAGGGCCTGCCACTCCAGGTCGCCCTCGCTTCCAGCCTCTCCTCTCCGGCTTTTGCTGCCTCCTCCTCTTCCCTCGCCGCCTCCTCGCTCGCTCCATCCTCCTCTGCATCTGCTCTTTTTAGAGATTCGATGCTCCCGTTGAGTCAGCAGCAGCAGCAGGGCCAGCAGAAGGCAGGGGGCGGGGAGGGGAAGAGGCACGGGGAGCAGAGGAAGGGCGCTCTGGCGGTGCTGGGAGGGGAGTTTCCTAAAGGCACTTGCCATGTGTTTGGAGTCGACTCTCTTACTGAGATGGCACCGGTGAGTCAATGAAAGGGAGGGAACGCTACGAGGCGGCAAGATCCTATTTCCGTTTCATTTTTTGTGGGGGGAGGGGGAAACAGTCCGTTATGAGCCTTCTCCTTGATCAGTCCAAACTCACCCTGCCCTGATGCAATTCTCTCCCATCCTGTTTCTGGCCGTCTGAAATCTTTCCCTTCTTCGCCTATCCACCTCCCATCAACCCTTCTTCGCCTATCCACCTCCCCTCAACCCTTCTTCGCCTATCCAGCTCCCCTCAACCCTTCTTCGCCTATCCACCTCCCCTCAACCCTTCTTCGCCTATCCACCTCCCCTCAACCCTTCTTCACCTATCCACCTCCCCTCAACCCTTCTTCGCCTATCCACCTCCCCTCAACCCTTCTTCGCCTATCCACCTCCCCTCAACCCTTCTTCGCCTATCCACCTCCCCTCAACCCTTCTTCGCCTATCCACCTCCCCTCAACCCTTCTTCGCCTATCCACCTCCCCTCAACCCTTCTTCGCCTATCCACCTCCCCTCAACCCTTCTTCACCTATCCACCTCCCCTCAACCCTTCTTCGCCTATCCACCTCCCCTCAACCCTTCTTCGCCTATCCACCTCCCCTCAACCCTTCTTCGCCTATCCACCTCCCCTCAACCCTTCTTCGCCTATCCACCTCCCCTCAACCCTTCTTCGCCTATCCACCTCCCCTCAACCCTTCTTCGCCTATCCACCTCCCCTCAACCCTTCTTCGCCTATCCACCTCCCCTCAACCCTTCTTCGCCTATCCACCTCCCCTCAACCCTTCTTCACCTATCCACCTCCCCTCAACCCTTCTTCGCCTATCCACCTCCCCTCAACCCTTCTTCGCCTATCCACCTCCCCTCAACCCTTCTTCGCCTATCCACCTCCCCTCAACCCTTCTTCGCCTATCCACCTCCCCTCAACCCTTCTTCGCCTATCCAGCTCCCCTCAACCCTTCTTCGCCTATCCACCTCCCCTCAACCCTTCTTCGCCTATCCACCTCCCCTCAACCCTTCTTCACCTATCCACCTCCCCTCAACCCTTCTTCGCCTATCCACCTCCCCTCAACCCTTCTTCACCTATCCACCTCCCCTCAACCCTTCTTCGCCTATCCACCTCCCCTCAACCCTTCTTCGCCTATCCACCTCCCCTCAACCCTTCTTCGCCTATCCACCTCCCCTCAACCCTTCTTCGCCTATCCACCTCCCCTCAACCCTTCTTCGCCTATCCAGCTCCCCTCAACCCTTCTTCGCCTATCCACCTCCCCTCAACCCTTCTTCGCCTATCCACCTCCCCTCAACCCTTCTTCACCTATCCACCTCCCCTCAACCCTTCTTCGCCTATCCACCTCCCCTCAACCCTTCTTCGCCTATCCACCTCCCCTCAACCCTTCTTCACCTATCCACCTCCCCTCAACCCTTCTTCGCCTATCCACCTCCCCTCAACCCTTCTTCGCCTATCCACCTCCCCTCAACCCTTCTTCGCCTATCCACCTCCCCTCAACCCTTCTTCGCCTATCCACCTCCCCTCAACCCTTCTTCGCCTATCCACCTCCCCTCAACCCTTCTTCGCCTATCCACCTCCCCTCAACCCTTCTTCGCCTATCCACCTCCCCTCAACCCTTCTTCGCCTATCCACCTCCCCTCAACCCTTCTTCACCTATCCACCTCCCCTCAACCCTTCTTCGCCTATCCACCTCCCCTCAACCCTTCTTCGCCTATCCACCTCCCCTCAACCCTTCTTCGCCTATCCACCTCCCCTCAACCCTTCTTCGCCTATCCACCTCCCCTCAACCCTTCTTCGCCTATCCACCTCCCCTCAACCCTTCTTCGCCTATCCACCTCCCCTCAACCCTTCTTCGCCTATCCACCTCCCCTCAACCCTTCTTCGCCTATCCACCTCCCCTCAACCCTTCTTCGCCTATCCACCTCCCCTCAACCCTTCTTCACCTATCCACCTCCCCTCAACCCTTCTTCGCCTATCCACCTCCCCTCAACCCTTCTTCGCCTATCCACCTCCCCTCAACCCTTCTTCGCCTATCCACCTCCCCTCAACCCTTCTTCGCCTATCCACCTCCCCTCAACCCTTCTTCGCCTATCCAGCTCCCCTCAACCCTTCTTCGCCTATCCACCTCCCCTCAACCCTTCTTCGCCTATCCACCTCCCCTCAACCCTTCTTCACCTATCCACCTCCCCTCAACCCTTCTTCGCCTATCCACCTCCCCTCAACCCTTCTTCGCCTATCCACCTCCCCTCAACCCTTCTTCGCCTATCCACCTCCCCTCAACCCTTCTTCGCCTATCCACCTCCCCTCAACCCTTCTTCGCCTATCCACCTCCCCTCAACCCTTCTTCGCCTATCCACCTCCCCTCAACCCTTCTTCGCCTATCCACCTCCCCTCAACCCTTCTTCACCTATCCACCTCCCCTCAACCCTTCTTCGCCTATCCACCTCCCCTCAACCCTTCTTCACCTATCCACCTCCCCTCAACCCTTCTTCGCCTATCCACCTCCCCTCAACCCTTCTTCGCCTATCCACCTCCCCTCAACCCTTCTTCGCCTATCCACCTCCCCTCAACCCTTCTTCGCCTATCCACCTCCCCTCAACCCTTCTTCGCCTATCCACCTCCCCTCAACCCTTCTTCGCCTATCCACCTCCCCTCAACCCTTCTTCGCCTATCCACCTCCCCTCAACCCTTCTTCGCCTATCCACCTCCCCTCAACCCTTCTTCACCTATCCACCTCCCCTCAACCCTTCTTCGCCTATCCACCTCCCCTCAACCCTTCTTCGCCTATCCACCTCCCCTCAACCCTTCTTCGCCTATCCACCTCCCCTCAACCCTTCTTCGCCTATCCACCTCCCCTCAACCCTTCTTCGCCTATCCAGCTCCCCTCAACCCTTCTTCGCCTATCCACCTCCCCTCAACCCTTCTTCGCCTATCCACCTCCCCTCAACCCTTCTTCACCTATCCACCTCCCCTCAACCCTTCTTCGCCTATCCACCTCCCCTCAACCCTTCTTCGCCTATCCACCTCCCCTCAACCCTTCTTCGCCTATCCACCTCCCCTCAACCCTTCTTCGCCTATCCACCTCCCCTCAACCCTTCTTCGCCTATCCACCTCCCCTCAACCCTTCTTCGCCTATCCACCTCCCCTCAACCCTTCTTCGCCTATCCACCTCCCCTCAACCCTTCTTCGCCTATCCACCTCCCCTCAACCCTTCTTCACCTATCCACCTCCCCTCAACCCTTCTTCGCCTATCCACCTCCCCTCAACCCTTCTTCGCCTATCCACCTCCCCTCAACCCTTCTTCGCCTATCCACCTCCCCTCAACCCTTCTTCGCCTATCCACCTCCCCTCAACCCTTCTTCGCCTATCCACCTCCCCTCAACCCTTCTTCGCCTATCCACCTCCCCTCAACCCTTCTTCGCCTATCCACCTCCCCTCAACCCTTCTTCACCTATCCACCTCCCCTCAACCCTTCTTCGCCTATCCACCTCCCCTCAACCCTTCTTCACCTATCCACCTCCCCTCAACCCTTCTTCGCCTATCCACCTCCCCTCAACCCTTCTTCACCTATCCACCTCCCCTCAACCCTTCTTCGCCTATCCACCTCCCCTCAACCCTTCTTCACCTATCCACCTCCCCTCAACCCTTCTTCGCCTATCCACCTCCCCTCAACCCTTCTTCACCTATCCACCTCCCCTCAACCCTTCTTCGCCTATCCACCTCCCCTCAACCCTTCTTCACCTATCCACCTCCCCTCAACCCTTCTTCGCCTATCCACCTCCCCTCAACCCTTCTTCACCTATCCACCTCCCCTCAACCCTTCTTCACCTATCCACCTCCCCTCAACCCTTCTTCGCCTATCCACCTCCCCTCAACCCTGCTGCAGGTGGTGCGGCACATAGCGGAGCATCGTCCCGTCACTCCTGGCTGGCGCACTCACCGCCCGTACCTCGTGGCACACAATGTGAGTGAGCCTTTGCCATGTGGCCACCACTGCGCACACACAAGCACACATGCGCACACACGCTCCTGGCTGGCGCACACACCGCCCGTTGCTTGTGGCAAACAATGTGAGCCTCTAATCTCTGCACCAGTGCGCACACACACAAGCATGCAGCCACCCTCACACACAAGCATGCAGCCACCCTCACACACAAGCATGCAGCCACCCTCACACACAAGCATGCAGCCACCCTCTCACACTCCTGGCTGGGGCACGCACTGCCTGTACCTCGTAGCACACGATGTAGGATTTTGTGAGCTTGCCATCACACATGCGTGCGCACACTCATCCACACTCACACACACACATATGCACGCATACACGCACACACATACACACACACACACACATACGCACACACACACGCACACACATACACACACATATACCACGCACTCTCTCTCTCACTCACACGCACGCACACACACGGGACATAAAATTCCTTGCCTCCTTTCATCTCGCTAGCCCATGGCCTCGCTCGCTCCCTCTCCCTCTTTCATCCCCTCTCCCTCTTTCATCCCGTCTCCTCTCCCTCTTTCATCCCCTCTCCCTCTTTCATCCCCTCTCCCTCTCTCTCCGCCAGTTTGACTTTATCCCCGGCGCAGCCGACACAGGCGCTGCAGCAGCCACTGGCACGTTGCGAGTGGTGGGCTACGTGCGTGGCCACGGGATCAACGTGAACCAGCTGGTGAGGAGAGTCAGTGCTTGCCATGTAGAAGAGCAGCAGCAGGAGGGGATGTCTTAGCAAAAGACAAAAGTCTCTCCAGAAAAAATCGTAACCCTTTAAAGTTTGAGTAAAACGCGAAAGTACAAGCTCAGAACAGCTCTATTGACTAGGCAACATGTTCCGGTCCGTACGGGGATCATTTTCGTCACGTCAGGCCTTCATCAGTGCAAGAGCCGTTCAGCATCCACTGGCACGTTGCGGGTGGTGGGCTACGTGCGTGGCCACGGGATCAACGTGAACCAGCTGGTGAGGAGGATGAGGCGGTGAGGTTGATTGACCAGGTGCTGGGTCCCAGTGCTGCTGGGGGAGCACTCACGTTCATCTTTCCTCTTTCTCCCACTCCCCCCCTTTCCTTTCCCTGTGCAGGTGCACATTACAGGCGTGGGCGACTTTCAGCTGGCTCAGATTGACCAAGTGCCCGACCCCTGTGCTGCTGGCGAGCATGGGAGGCCGGGGGGGAGGGGCGGTGGGAGCAAGGGGAAGGAGAAGAAGAAAGGGGGGACGACGAAAGAGGGAATGGAGGTAGAGGAGGGAGAGAAGGGGGAGGAGGGGGAAGTGGAGGAAGAGGGGGAGGAGGAGGAGGGGGGGGGAGTGAGGGTGTTGGCTCGGTCGAGTGCAGAGCTGAGGGATCCCCTTGTGGTTCTCAACACACTCGATCCGCTGGCAGGCGAACAGGTGCGGTAGTGAGGGAGCGGGCGGGTGAAGAGGTGAGAGCACGTGGGTGGGTGGGTAGGTGGGTGGTGACACACGACACATTGTGGGGAGCTGAGGGATCCCCTTATGGTGCTCAACACACCTGATCCACTGGCCGGCGAACAGGTGCGGCTGAAGAGGTGAGAGCAGAGGGACGAGAGCATGTGAGGTGACACGGCACGTTGAGTTGAGTTGAGTTGAGTTGAGTTGAGTTGAGTTGAGTTGAGTTGAGTTGAGTTGAGTTGAGTTGAGTTGAGTTGAGTTGAGTTGAGCTGAGCTGAGCTGAGCTGAGCTGAGCTGAGCTGAGTTGAGTTGAGTTGAGTTGAGTTGAGTTGAGTTGAGTTGAGTTGAGTTGAGTTGAGTTGAGTTGAGTTGAGTTGAGTTGAGTTGAGTTGAGTTGAGTTGAGTTGAGTTGAGTTGAGTTGAGTTGAGTTGAGTTGAGTTGAGTTGAGTTGAGTTGAGTTGAGTTGAGTTGAGTTGAGTTGAGTTGAGTTGAGTTGAGTTGAGTTGAGTTGAGTTGAGTTGAGTTGAGTTGAGTTGAGTTGAGTTGAGTTGAGTTGAGTTGAGTTGAGTTGAGTTGAGTTGAGTTGAGTTGAGCTGAGTTGAGTTGAGTTGAGTTGAGTTGAGTTGAGTTGAGTTGAGTTGAGTTGAGTTGAGTTGAGCTGAGTTGAGTTGAGTTGAGTTGAGTTGAGTTGAGTTGAGTTGAGTTGAGTTGAGTTGAGTTGAGTTGAGTTGAGTTGAGTTGAGGGACCAAAGATCCGCTTCACATACCGTTGGTGGGGTAGGGCGCCACATCACACGGGGGCCCCTCCCCCCACACCAGACAAGGTGGCACAGCAGACTAGGTGGCACAGCAGACTAGGTGTAAACTTTTGCACGCCGAGCCAACCTTCCTCACCTTACCGCACACAACCCCATCCCCGTCTTCCTGCACCCCGCCCTCCTTCCTTCCCGTTCTCCCTCTACCCCTCCCCCCCCCCTCTCACCCAGACGTGGCCGACAGAGGAGGAAATGGCAGCAGCAGAGGCGGAGGAGGAGGGAGAGTTGGAAGCAGCGCAGATTGCATGTGATTCTCACAGCGGACATGCCTTCCCTCCTCCCCTTCACCCCCCCTACCAGACGTGGCCGACAGAGGAGGAAATGGCAGCAGCAGAGGCGGAGGAGAGGAAGAGAGCAGAGAGCAAGGCCCTGGGCGGGGGAGGAGGGAAGGAGGGGAAGGGTGGCGCCAGGCGCATTCGGGTGCCTAAAGGAACCTCCAGTTACCAGGTGTGCTCTGATACCTTTGTGATGCTCTGATACCGTTGTAAAGGGTATTTATCTTCTGAGGCGTCAGGGAGTGACACCTACGCTGCATTGATAATCAATCGTCTTCCGTTTGTTATGCGCTGCTGCCTAATCCATGTTCCCCTCCTCCGACACCCCCCTCCCCCTTTTTTCTTGTTGCGTGGCTGTTTGGTGTCGCCATTCGTCGCTGCAAGCTTGTCAAGAGGGTTTTATGAAGCTCCTCAGGGTTTGCATGAGGCTAAGTAATCTTAACATACGGTGTTGCTTGAACTGCAGGCGGCATGGATGCAAGGTGGTGACGAGGAGGAGAGCGAGGGGGAAGAGGAGGACGGGGAAGAGGGACAGGATGGAGAGGAGGGAGAGGAGGCGATGGAGGAGGGAGAGGAGAGGGATGGGGGTGAGCAGGGAGGAGCAGAGGAGGAGGAGGGGTCGGGGAGTGATTGGGAGGAGGTGGATGAGGATGATGGTGTGGGAGGGGAGAGGCTAGAAGGAGGCAGCACCCACGATGGGCTCATGGTGCGTGCTGCTCTCATTCCATGCCCAGTAGTGTTGAGCTTCCCTTAAGTTACAACTCCCTGCATTCATGGTGTCTCCATCCCTTCTCTCCCACCTCTCATCCACCGTCCGTCGCTCATACACCTTCTCCTGTGTTCGTGGTACATGAAGGGCGATGCAGGATGACAACAACCCCTCTCCGTTCCCCTCTCATCCCCCCCCTTGGATGAAAAGGAGCAGAGGCAGAGAGGCAGCCTTAGAAACACACCCATCAAAACCCCTCACAGAGATTCATGAGGACATTGCCTCCACCATCGTCACTCACCCCTCCCCCCGTGTGTGTGTGTGGCAGGAGGAGGATGATGCAGAGGGGGAGGCGGAGAAGAGGGCGCGGGCACAGTGGGAAGAGATGAAGCGACTGAGGACACAGCAGCAGGAGGACCAGGGTGGGTGTGGTGTGGGGCATGGGAATGCTGAGGTTCAGGGTGTGTGGTGTAGGGCATGGGAATGCTGAGGTTCAGGGTGTGTGGTGTAGGGCATGGGAATGCTGAGGTTCAGGGTGTGTGGTGTAGGGCATGGGAATGCTGAGGTTCAGGGGGTGTGGTGTAGGGCATGGGAATGCTGAGGTTCAGGGTGTGTGGTGTAGGGCATGGGAATGCTGAGGTTCAGGGTGTGTGGTGTAGGGCATGGGAATGCTGAGGTTCAGGGGGTGTGGTGTAGGGCATGGGAATGCTGAGGTTCAGGGTGGGTGTGGTGTAGGGCATGGGAATGCTGAGGTTCAGGGTGTGTGGTGTAGGGCATGGGAATGCTGAGGTTCAGGGTGGGTGTGGTGTAGGGCATGGGAATGCTGAGGTTCAGGGGGTGTGGTGTAGGGCATGGGAATGCTGAGGTTCAGGGTGTGTGGTGTAGGGCATGGGAATGCTGAGGTTCAGGGTGTGTGGTGTAGGGCATGGGAATGCTGAGGTTCAGGGTGTGTGGTGTAGGCCATGGGAATGCTGAGGTTCAGGGTGTGTGGTGTAGGGCATGGGAATGCTGAGGTTCAGGGTGTGTGGTGTAGGGCATGGGAATGCTGAGGTTCAGGGTGTGTGGTGTAGGGCATGGGAATGCTGAGGTTCAGGGTGTGTGGTGTAGGGCATGGGAATGCTGAGGTTCAGGGTGTGTGGTGTAGGCCATGGGAATGCTGAGGTTCAGGGTGTGTGGTGTAGGGCATGGGAATGCTGAGGTTCAGGGTGTGTGGTGTAGGGCATGGGAATGCTGAGGTTCAGGGTGTGTGGTGTAGGCCATGGGAATGCTGAGGTTCAGGGTGTGTGGTGTAGGGCATGGGAATGCTGAGGTTCAGGGTGGGTGTGGTGTAGGCCATGGGAATGCTGAGGTTCAGGGTGTGTGGTGTAGGGCATGGGAATGCTGAGGTTCAGGGTGTGTGGTGTAGGGCATGGGAATGCTGAGGTTCAGGGGGTGTGGTGTAGGGCATGGGAATGCTGAGGTTCAGGGTGTGTGGTGTAGGGCATGGGAATGCTGAGGTTCAGGGTGGGTGTGGTGTAGGCCATGGGAATGCTGAGGTTCAGGGTGTGTGGTGTAGGGCATGGGAATGCTGAGGTTCAGGGTGTGTGGTGTAGGGCATGGGAATGCTGAGGTTCAGGGTGGGTGTGGTGTAGGCCATGGGAATGCTGAGGTTCAGGGTGTGTGGTGTAGGGCATGGGAATGCTGAGGTTCAGGGTGTGTGGTGTAGGGCATGGGAATGCTGAGGTTCAGGGTGTGTGGTGTAGGGCATGGGAATGCTGAGGTTCAGGGTGTGTGGTGTAGGGCATGGGAATGCTGAGGTTCAGGGTGTGTGGTGTAGGGCATGGGAATGCTGAGGTTCAGGGTGTGTGGTGTAGGGCATGGGAATGCTGAGGTTCAGGGTGTGTGGTGTAGGGCATGGGAATGCTGAGGTTCAGGGTGTGTGGTGTAGGGCATGGGAATGCTGAGGTTCAGGGTGTGTGGTGTAGGGCATGGGAATGCTGAGGTTCAGGGGGTGTGGTGTAGGGCATGGGAATGCTGAGGTTCAGGGTGTGTGGTGTAGGGCATGGGAATGCTGAGGTTCAGGGTGGGTGTGGTGTAGGCCATGGGAATGCTGAGGTTCAGGGTGTGTGGTGTAGGGCATGGGAATGCTGAGGTTCAGGGTGTGTGGTGTAGGGCATGGGAATGCTGAGGTTCAGGGTGGGTGTGGTGTAGGCCATGGGAATGCTGAGGTTCAGGGTGTGTGGTGTAGGGCATGGGAATGCTGAGGTTCAGGGTGTGTGGTGTAGGGCATGGGAATGCTGAGGTTCAGGGTGTGTGGTGTAGGGCATGGGAATGCTGAGGTTCAGGGGGTGTGGTGTAGGGCATGGGAATGCTGAGGTTCAGGGTGTGTGGTGTAGGGCATGGGAATGCTGAGGTTCAGGGGGTGTGGTGTAGGGCATGGGAATGCTGAGGTTCAGGGTGTGTGGTGTAGGCCATGGGAATGCTGAGGTTCAGGGTGTGTGGTGTAGGGCATGGGAATGCTGAGGTTCAGGGGGTGTGGTGTAGGGCATGGGAATGCTGAGGTTCAGGGTGTGTGGTGTAGGGCATGGGAATGCTGAGGTTCAGGGTGGGTGTGGTGTAGGGCATGGGAATGCTGAGGTTCAGGGTGGGTGTGGTGTAGGGCATGGGAATGCTGAGGTTCAGGGTGTGTGGTGTAGGCCATGGGAATGCTGAGGTTCAGGGTGTGTGGTGTAGGGCATGGGAATGCTGAGGTTCAGGGTGTGTGGTGTAGGGCATGGGAATGCTGAGGTTCAGGGTGTGTGGTGTAGGGCATGGGAATGCTGAGGTTCAGGGTGGGTGTGGTGTAGGGCATGGGAATGCTGAGGTTCAGGGTGTGTGGTGTAGGCCATGGGAATGCTGAGGTTCAGGGTGTGTGGTGTAGGCCATGGGAATGCTGAGGTTCAGGGTGTGTGGTGTAGGGCATGGGAATGCTGAGGTTCAGGGTGTGTGGTGTAGGGCATGGGAATGCTGAGGTTCAGGGTGTGTGGTGTAGGCCATGGGAATGCTGAGGTTCAGGGTGGGTGTGGTGTAGGGCATGGGAATGCTGAGGTTCAGGGTGTGTGGTGTAGGGCATGGGAATGCTGAGGTTCAGGGTGTGTGGTGTAGGCCATGGGAATGCTGAGGTTCAGGGTGTGTGGTGTAGGGCATGGGAATGCTGAGGTTCAGGGTGTGTGGTGTAGGCCATGGGAATGCTGAGGTTCAGGGTGTGTGGTGTAGGGCATGGGAATGCTGAGGTTCAGGGTGTGTGGTGTAGGGCATGGGAATGCTGAGGTTCAGGGTGGGTGTGGTGTAGGGCATGGGAATGCTGAGGTTCAGGGTGTGTGGTGTAGGGCATGGGAATGCTGAGGTTCAGGGTGTGTGGTGTAGGCCATGGGAATGCTGAGGTTCAGGGTGTGTGGTGTAGGGCATGGGAATGCTGAGGTTCAGGGTGTGTGGTGTAGGCCATGGGAATGCTGAGGTTCAGGGTGTGTGGTGTAGGGCATGGGAATGCTGAGGTTCAGGGGGTGTGGTGTAGGGCATGGGAATGCTGAGGTTCAGGGTGTGTGGTGTAGGCCATGGGAATGCTGAGGTTCAGGGGGTGTGGTGTAGGGCATGGGAATGCTGAGGTTCAGGGGGTGTGGTGTAGGGCATGGGAATGCTGAGGTTCAGGGTGTGTGGTGTAGGGCATGGGAATGCTGAGGTTCAGGGGGTGTGGTGTAGGGCATGGGAATGCTGAGGTTCAGGGTGTGTGGTGTAGGGCATGGGAATGCTGAGGTTCAGGGTGTGTGGTGTAGGCCATGGGAATGCTGAGGTTCAGGGTAGGTAGGCATAGCCGCATAGGTAGGCTGTCTCAGTTTGAGCACATTGGGAGGAGTTGAATGGAGCGGCTGAAGGTGTGTCAACATCAGCAGGAGGACCATTTAGGTCACTTGGAAGGGGACAGTCATTGTGGTCTTAGTGAGCTGATACTATAGAGGGGGAAGCATGTCCAAACCCAAGCTTGAAACCCAAGCTTGAAACCCAAGCTTGAAACCCAAGCTTGAAACCCAACCTCAAACCAGGGTAAACCCTAGTTTTCGACCCAAACTAAGTTTGGGTGCCTATCTATCTTCGCCCAGGAATGCCAGTCTGTGCTACAGGAAACAAGTGAAGCCATATTTTGACAGGAGTGTCCCCCGAGGGAGGCATCGATCCAGACAATTCCAGGCAGAACCTGGTACCATCACAGAGACTTCCTCTCCATTCCTCTCCATTCCTATCCATTTCTCTCCATTCCTCTCCATTCCTCTCCATTCCTCTCCATTCTTATCTCCCTTGTTATCGCCACACACCCCAGAGTTCCCTTACAAGGTCTACACGCCCGACGACATGCCAGCCCGCCTGCGCTTTGCCAACCTCACCTCCTGCATTCGCTCTCGCCCATTCCCGCTCCCCCATTCCCATCCGACATCCCATCTATTTCCTTGCACGTCTGCTCCAGAGTTCCCTGACTAGGTCGACATGCCTGACGACATCTCAGCACGGCAGCGCATTGCCAAACTTTGCTACCTCATTCATTCCCCCATCCTTCATTCCCTCCATTCTCTGTGTCCCCAACCCCCCATTCCACGCCAATCAGAGTTTCCGGACGAGGTGGACACACCTGACGACATCTCGGCCCACCAGCACTTTGCCAACCTCACCTTCCCCGTCCGCTCTCCCCCATTCCCACTCCCCCATCCATTTCCTTGCTCCTTCTGCTCCGTCTGCTCCAGAATTCCCCGACGAGGTGGACACACCTGACGACATCCCGGCCCGCCAGCGCTTTGCCAAGTACCGCGGACTCAAGTCCTTCCGCTCCTCGCCGTGGGACCCCAAGGTGCTGTGCGGTGATGTGCTGTGCGGTGTGATGTTTGGTGTATGTACTGTGCAATATGCTGCCCAAGGTGGGTTACTTGCTGCTATTGTAGCCGTGTCAAGGTGTTGTGTGCGGTGCTGTCTGGTGCAGTGTGCTTTCCACTTCTCTGCCACTCACAGGAGTCCCTCCCCCCTGAGTACGCATGCATATTCTCCTTGGGCAACTGGAATAGGACGCACAAGGAAACAAGGGGAGAGGACACCAGTGCAGCATGTCACACATTCCCTTAACTAAGACTTCCTTCCCCTCCCCCTCCCCCCAACCCAACCTCCCCTCTGCCGCCCACAGGAGTCCCTCCCCCCCGAATACGCGCGCATCTTCTCCTTTGACAACTGGAAAAGGACGCAGAAGGCCGCGGAGGAGCGGGCGGCAGCAGTGGATCGGGGCGAGGTGCCCGGGTCGGTTGGGGCGGGGACGTTTGTCAGGTTGCACATTATGAACGTGCCATGCTTCGAAGCAGGTACTCTATGAACCTTTCTATCGATGATGATGATGATGTCCCGTTGGATATGTGCATGTGTTTGGCAGTGTGCATTGCACTGTTTAAACCGCAATGTGTGCATTTGTGTGTGAGTGAGCAATCATGCGTGCATCTTGCAGGGCCGTGGAGGTGGGGATGCAGGCGGTCAGTATTATAATCTATTCAATAACCCTATTCCTTGTTGTACACCTCGCTTCCATTATCCTGGCTACGTGATCTTCTCTTCATTTACTAACACCAAGTTAATCCCCAAGAGCCTTGCTTTCTCTTCCTGGGCTCTTTCAGTTCCTTCCGCCGGCCCTCTTTTCCCTGATCCCCTCCCTTTCCCCCACCCTCCCTTTCCTCAGAGCGTCTGCAGCACGAGGTGACCAAACGTGGGCTGCCACTTGTCGTGACGGGGCTGCTGCAGCACGAGACGCGCATGACAGTGCTGCACTTCTCAGTCAAGAAGTCCGACTCCTTCGCCCCCGCCATCAAGTCCAAGCAGCGCCTCCTCTTCCACTGCGGCTTCCGAAGGTTCTACTCTCGGTGAGCGCTGGTTGCTGGTGGTGGTGGTGCTTGCGGTGAGTGTTGGTTGCAGGTGGTGGTGAGTGTCGGTGGTGGTGGTGGCTCTGCCCCCATCAAGTCCAAGCAGCGCCTCCTCTTCCACTGCGGCTTCCGCCGCTTCTACACTCGGTGGGTGCAGTGCAGTGCGGTGCTGTTGATAGGGGTGGTCCACACACGGTCAGTGCGCCTGCTGCTGCTGGTGCAGGTGCTGGTGAGGAGTGCAGCATGAGAGATTTCAGGGACGGCAATAACCACAAACAACCCTTTCACCCCCTCCCACCCAACCTCTTCATCCCCACTCTTTTCCCCTCCCACTCTTTTCCCCTCCCACTTTTTTCCCCTCCCACTCTTTTCCCCTCCCACCCTTTTCCCCTCCCACCCATTTCCCCTCCCACCCTTTTCCCCGCCCACCCATTTCCCCTCCCACCCTTTTCCCCTCCCACCTCTTCCCCTCCCACCCTCTTCCCCTCCCACCCTCTTCCCTTCCCACCCTCTTCAGCCCCACCTTTTCCACAGACAACATCAGACCTCGACAAGCTCTGGTCTTGAAACACGAGTTGAAGCTGTGATTTGCATTCACCCACTGCACCACGAGTTGAAGCTGTGATTTGCATTCACCCACTGCACCACGAGTTGAAGCTGTGATTTGCATTCACCCACTGCACCTCCATCCCCCTTCTTCCCCCCCCCACCCTCCCCCCTCTCCCCCCTTCCCCACCCTCCATATTCTTACCATCTTCCTCTCCCCCCTCCAGCCCAACCGTCTCAACGGACGATGCCAACCTCGATAAGCACAAGTTGAAGCTATGACTCGCTTTCAGCCACTGCTGCCTTAACCAAACCCCCCCGCCCCCCCCATCCCCCCACCCTCGCTCCCTCCCTCCCCTCCCCCCCAGCCCAGCCATCAACCAGGACAAGCACAAGTTCGAGAAACAAGCTGAAGCTGTGACTTGTGCTGTGCTCAACTCAACCATTGTACTGTGCTCCCCCTCTCCCCCCACCTCCCCACCTCCAACCCCCCTCCCTTCCCCCCCCCCCAGCCCCGCCTTCTCAACGGACAATGTCAACCCCGATAAGCACAAGTTGAAGCTGTGACTCGCATTCAGTGCTTTGACCAGCACAACCCCCCCCCCCCCCCCCCCTCCCCCTCCCCCTCCTCTTCCTAAACCCCCCTTCCCCCCCCCTCCCCACCCCCCCAGCCCCACCTTCTCAACGGATGACATCAATCTCGATAAGCACAAGTTCGAGCGCTTCCTGCACCCCGGAAGGTTCGCGGTAGCTTCCATCTTCGCACCCACGCTCTTCCCGCCGCTCCCCCTCCTCGTCTTCGCCGACCCGTCTGCGGCCAATCAGCACACAGGAGAGGGTGTGGGGGGAGGGAGTGTAGGAGGGAGTGTGGTGGGGGGAAGTGTGGTGGGGGAGGGCGAGGAGCTGCAGCTGGCGGCAACAGGGGCTTTAAGAGGGCCGGACCCCGATCGGATCATCCTCAAGAAGATTGTGCTGTCGGGGTGAGTTGAATTGCGAGCAAGGCACGCGCTGCAGGGTGCTATGAAGCATTGGGGTGGTGGGCACTTATATGGAGGACAGGTTGTTCTTGGCTCGATTGATTGGTGCTTTCTCCTGGAGTGCAGTGCAGCAGGGTGACGCGAATCAGTGATGCAGTGGAAGTCAGTGATGCAGTGGAAGGCAGTGATGCAGTGGAAGGCAGTGATGCAGTGGAAGGCAGTGATGCAGTGGAAGTCAGTGGCATACTCACATATTGATGTGCACTCATGCTTTCACTCCGTTCCTCCTCCCCTTCCCCCTACTCCCCGTGTCAGTGATGAAGAGCAAGGCAGTGGTGCGATACATGTTCCACCAGCCACCCGAAAATACTCACATATAGATGTGCACTCATCCTTTCCCTCCCGTCCTCCTCCCCGTCCCCCTCTTCCCTCCAGCTACCCCGTGTCAGTGATGAAGCGCAAGGCAGTGGTGCGATACATGTTCCACCAGCCAGAGGATGGCAGGTGGTTCCAGGTCAGTGCCACGTCAGATGGTTCCATGTCAGTGCCACGTCAGATGGTTCCAGCAGGTCAGTGCCACGTCAGATAGTTCCAGGTCAGTGCCGCGTCGGATGGTCCAGGTCAGTGCCACGTCAGATGGTCCGGGTCAGCACACTTCCATTCATCTCCCTCTTTTATTCCCTCCCACCAGCTTAATGATGACCATGCATGCACCATGCATGCCCATCCCCATTTTCCTTCTCGTCCGTCCCTTTCCCTTTCCCTGCGCTCCGCTCCCATCCCTCTCACCCCACCCACTCTCTTTCCCGTCTCCCTCATCCCTCTCTCTCTCCCCCTTTCCCCCGTTCTTCTTATCAGCAAACCTTCTATCATCCCCTTGCCTCCCTCCCCAATCTGACCCTCTCTTCTGCGGAATCATTTCACCAAGTACGGCGGGGTGGCTGCGTTTGCACTATGCACTGCGCCCAGCCCCCTTCCCTCTTCCCCACATTCCAGCGCCCCCTCCCTTGTCCCCCTGGCCAGCTGATGGGGCTCTTTACCAGGTGGCAGGAGGGACCGCATTCACTCTAACCGATACACAGCACTTCCCTCTCCCCAATTCCCTCTCCCCACTTCCCTCTCCCTTCTTCCCTCTCCCCACTTCCCTCTCCCCACTCCCCACTCCCCTCTCCCCACTCCCTTCTCCCCACTCCCCACTCCCCACTCCCCACTCCCCTCTCCCCGCTCCCCTCTCCCCACTCCCCACTCCCCTCTCCCCACTCCCCACTCCCCACTCCCCTCTCCTCTCTCTCCTCTCTCCTCTCTCTACTTACCCCACCTTCCACGTGCCAGCCAGTGGAGCTCTTCACCAAGTACGGCTGGGCGGGCCGCATTCACTCTGAATGTACGATGCACAACAACCAACCATCCTCCCACTTCCCACTCCCCACTCCCCGCTCTCGCTTCCCTCTCCCTCTTCCCCCACGCCAGCCGGTGGACCTCGTTACCAAGTACGGCCGGAGGGGCCGCATTCACTATGAATGCACTATGCACAGCACCCAACCCTCTTTCCGCTCCCCACTCCCCCTCTCTCCTCTCTCTTCCCTCTTCACCAAGTACGACTGGACGGCCGCATTCACTCTGAACGCACTGTGCGCAGCAACCAACCATCCTCCCACTCCCCACTCTGCACTCCCCACTCCCCACTCTCACTTCTCCCCTCCCTCGTCCTCCTCACCAGCCAGTGGAGCTCTTCACCAAGTACGGCCGGAGGGGGCGCATTCGCGAGCCTGTGGGCACCAAAGGTGGGTGGGTGTGTGGGTGCTGTGCTGTGCTGTGTTGCACGCAGAAGTTCCACATAGTGTCTGTGTGTGGTGGTGGGCATGGACCATGGTGTGTGTGGTGGTGGGCATGGACCATGGTGTGTGTGGTGGTGGGCATGGACCATGGTGTGTGTGGTGGTGGGCATGGACCGTGGTGTGTGTGGTGGTGGGCATGGACCATGGTGTGTGTGGTGGTGGGCATGGACCATGGTGTGTGTGGTGGTGGGCATGGACCATGGTGTGTGTGGTGGTGGGCATGGACCATGGTGTGTGTGGTGGTGGGCATGGACCATGGTGTGTGTGGTGGTGGGCATGGACCGTGGTGTGTGGTGGTGGGCATGGACCATGGTGACTTCTGAGGCGCCTCAAAAGTGTGTGTGGGTGCAATGTGATGCAATCGTGTGTGTGGCACTGTGATGCAATCGTGTGTGTGGCACTGTGATGCTATCGTGTGTGTGGCACTGTGATGCAATCGTGTGTGTGGCACTGTGATGCAATCGTGTGTGTGGCACTGTGATGCAATCGTGTGTGTGGCACTGTGATGCAATCGTGTGTGTGGCACTGTGATGCAATCGTGTGTGTGGCACTGTGATGCAATCGTGTGTGTGGCACTGTGATGCAATCGTGTGTGTGGCACTGTGATGCTATCGTGTGTGTGGCACTGTGATGCAATCGTGTGTGTGGCACTGTGATGCAATCGTGTGTGTGGCACTGTGATGCAATCGTGTGTGTGGCACTGTGATGCAATCGTGTGTGTGGCACTGTGATGCAATCGTGTGTGTGGCACTGTGATGCAATCGTGTGTGTGGCACTGTGATGCAATCGTGTGTGTGGCACTGTGATGCAATCGTGTGTGTGGCACTGTGATGCTATCGTGTGTGTGGCAGTGTGATGCTATCGTGTGTCCACTGGTGCTCACTCCTTATCCATCTCCCCCACTTGCTTCTATTCTTACTTGTATCCCTCTTGCGAGCATCCCAATACCTGTCATCACCGCCCTCCAGGAGCAATCAAGAGTGTGTTTGACGGGGTGGTGCTATCATGTGCTCACCCGTGCTCACTCCTTCCCCGTATCCCCCCCTTGCCTCCACCCCTCTTGCTTCCACCCCTCTTGCTTCCACCCCTCTTGCTTCCACCCCTCTTGCTTCCACCCCTCTTGCTTCCACCCCTCTTGCTTCCACCCCTCTTGCTTCCACCCCTCTTGCTTCCACCCCTCTTGCTTCCACCACTCTTGCTTCCACCCCTCTTGCTTCCACCCCTCTTGCTTCCACCCCTCTTGCTTCCACCCCTCTTGCTTCCACCCCTCTTGCTTCCACCCCTCTTGCTTCCACCCCTCTTGCTTCCACCCCTCTTGCTTCCACCACTCTTGCTTCCACCCCTCTTGCTTCCACCCCTCTTGCTTCCACCCCTCTTGCTTCCACCCCTCTTGCTTCCACCCCTCTTGCTTCCACCCCTCTTGCTTCCACCCCTCTTGCTTCCACCACTCTTGCTTCCACCCTCTTGCTTCCACCCCTCTTGCTTCCACCCCTCTTGCTTCCACCCCTCTTGCTTCCACCCCTCTTGCTTCCACCCCTCTTGCTTCCACCCTCTTGCTTCCACCCCTCTTGCTTCCACCACTCTTGCTTCCACCCCTCTTGCTTCCACCCCTCTTGCTTCCACCCCTCTTGCTTCCACCCCTCTTGCTTCCACCCCTCTTGCTTCCACCCCTCTTGCTTCCACCCCTCTTGCTTCCACCCCTCTTGCTTCCACCACTCTTGCTTCCACCCCTCTTGCTTCCACCCCTCTTGCTTCCACCCCTCTTGCTTCCACCCCTCTTGCTTCCACCCCTCTTGCTTCCACCCCTCTTGCTTCCACCCCTCTTGCTTCCACCACTCTTGCTTCCACCCCTCTTGCTTCCACCCCTCTTGCTTCCACCCCTCTTGCTTCCACCCCTCTTGCTTCCACCCCTCTTGCTTCCACCACTCTTGCTTCCATCCCAATGCGGCTCTTGCTGCCATCACCACCCTCCAGGAGCAATCAAGTGTGTGTTCGACAGGGTGGTGTTATTGTGTGCTCACCCATGCTCACTCCTCCCGTATCCCCCCCTTGCCTCCACCCCTCTTGCGTTCACTCCTATGCCCCTCATCAATACCTCTCATCACCGCCTGCCAGGAGCAATCAAGTGTGTGTTCGATGGGGTGGTGCAGCAGCGCGATGCCGTCTGCATGGCTCTCTACAAGCGAGTCTACCCCAAGTTCCCCGTCCTGCCAGCCTCTCTTTGAGCAACCACAAGACTACCCCCAAGTTCCCATCGCTGCTGACTGCATACATATTCCACGATACATGCACAATCTTAAAAAAAAATACATTATATTGTCAAGGTTCAATCAAATACAAACCTATGGCAAAAAGCAAAACCCACACACTCACACCCACATACATGTGCCAAATATACACAATCACTCAGCCAACCATCAGCACACTTGATTCCTGGCCTCCAAGGAACCGCATGCAGTTGCTCACACCTCTGCTCCATCAGACCCTGCCGATCAGACTGATCTCGCAGCTAATTGATAGCGGCGTGTTTCCGTTCTTGATAGTCCTGACAGCAAAAAAAGGTATGGTAGGGAATGATAGTGAAAGGTATGGCAGTGACGAGGACAAACACACAGCATAAGCAAACCGAGAAGAGAATCTTAAATGGTTGTGTATGCTCGGAATAGACCGCAAGAACCACATGGCTAGTGCTGGAAACAATTGATTTAGCGCCTCTGTCATGTCGAAACACCTAGTCACAAGCGAAGCGAAGCGCGTCGGGGCCTGGCAGGGCAGGAGGGGGTGGGAGGGGGCCTACCACGTTCACAACTCAACATTCGTGGCAACTGGCGCATCTGATTTGGGCAATATTGGTAACAACAACTGTACGGATGCCCTTGGGACCTACTCAATGCTCACGTGATGGCATGTGAGATATATGGTTATATATGCAACAGCTATTGCTGTTCGGTTTGAAGGGAATACTACGGGGAGGTCGAGGAGATCCCAGCCCTTGCTCTCCTCCGACACACCAAGGTGAAGGCCCCATTTGGCCTTTGCCTTTAGCTTTCCACCACGCTGCAGCTCGGCGACTAAGAACTGCGTTATGCAGTTTCACACACGGGCCAGCGTCAAGTCGGGCTTCTGTCGAGAGTGAAGGAAAGGTGATGGTTGCACTATCGAGAAAGTTGGGTACAAGTAACAAAAATTTATACCCTACATTAGCTACCCCACTAAAGCCTACATTTTATTATGACACGGGCATATAATTTGACACACCCCCATAGGCAAAGTGGGGGAGAGCAAGGGGTCACAGGACCAGTCAAGAGAAGCAAAGCAAGCTCAGGATGGATCACAACGTCACCACACACACTGAGCACAAGCAAAGGGCCACAAGGCCAGTTCACATGCAGAGGTATATATGCAACAACAGCAGTACAGTGATCTTTACCCAGCAGAGCAAGCATGCAGGTATATATATAGATCACAGTACAAGCAATGTCTACAGCAAGTGAGGAAAAGTGGGGCACAAGGCCTAACAAAGTGCAGAAACGCTGATGATCACCAGACGAAAGTGCCTTGGTGAATATATCACCAGTGTTGGCCCGAGTGGCCACGTGAGCAAGAGGAAGCTGACCACGCTACTGCAACTCTCGAGCCAAGAAGTAACGCAGAGCGATGTGCTTCGTTCTATGCTCCAGTCTGTGCTCCTGACACAAGGCAATGGCGACCTTGTTGTCGACGTACAGCACTGGAGGAGAGCGAGGCCGCTCTCCCAAGGCGGTCACCAGGTAGGTGATCCAGCGTAGCTCCTGTGCAGCCATGGCTGTGGCGTAGATCTCAGCCTCACAACTGGAGCCGAGAACTGAAGACGAGCGTGTAGAACGCCAAGAAACTGAATCAGAGCCAAGCCTGAAGGCGTAACCCTGTGACGACCGCTGCGTAGCTAGGTCGTCAACCCAAGAAACGTCCGAGTGCCCAGTGAGGACAACTGGGCTCCGCCCTCCAAGCACGAGCCCCATGCCCGATGTACTGCACAAGTAGCGCAGTACCCTCTTAGCAACATCCATGTGCACCTTTCGGTGCCTACCAGGAGCCACATAGCGAGCTAGAAGGCCAAGAGGGTACGCAAGATCAGTTCGATTGCAGGTCATTAGGTACATGAGGCAGCTCACTAGCTCTCGGTACAGGCCACTCGGCTCTACGGACTCGTCCGAAGGTGGAGCTGAGAGCGAGTGGCCTGTAGCCAGAGGAGTAAACCGGGCGAGGACCAAGTGAAGCCGAAGCGCTGAAGGACCTGCTGCACCATGTGTGACTGAGTCAGTGTGATGGTGCGGCGTGCTCTGTCCCAGGTGATCTGCAAGCCAAGATACCTGCGCAGCTCACCCAGATCTGTGCACGTGTGTCTCTTCTGCAGCTCCAACTTCACCAGGGCGAGAGCCTTAGTGTCAGCAGTGGCAAAGACCAAGTCATCAACGTACACGAGGATGTAGAACGGCGGCAGCGAAGTGTCGGTGCGCAGAAACAACGACGGGTCAGCAGTGGAAGGCGCGAACCCAAGATCCGCAAGTGTCATCCTCAGTGTGTCGTGCCTATCAGAATCAATGAACAGGAATGATTGAACTATGAAAGAAGTGAGTACAAGTACTAACCCTAATTGGGTTGTACCCCCTATGGGATACCCCACTACAGCCTACACAAATGTATCGGCTATATAACATTCTGACACACCCCCATAGGCAAAGTGGGGGAGAACAAGGGGTCACAAGACCAGTCCAGCAAAGCAAAGCAAGCTCAGGGTGGATCTCAAAGTCACCACACAGTCTGAGCACAAGGTCAAGGCCACACGGCCAGTTCACATGCAAGTGTACACATATATATAAAGCTAGACAAGCAAGAGCAGGTATATATATATATATATATGTGACAGTACAAGCAAGGTCAAGAGGTGAGCAAGTGAGGCAAGACAGGCACAAGACCCAGCTGGGTGCAGAAGCGCTGATGATCACAAGGCGCAAGTGCCTTGGTGAAGACATCAGCAGTGTTGGCCTAAGAGGCCACGTAAGCAAGCCGCAACTGTCCACGCTGCTGTAGCTCACGAGCAAGGAAGTAGCGAAGAGCAATGTGCTTTGTTCTGTGCTCCAGTCTCTGCTCTCAACACAAGGCCAGCATGGCCTTGTTGTCTACGTACAGGACTGGAGGAGAACGGGCCGGCTCTCCAAGGTCGGTCAGCAGGTAGGTGAGCCAGCGAAGCTCCTGTGCAGCCATGGCCCCGGCGTAGATCTCAGCCTCACAACTGGAGCCGAGAACCGAAGACGAGCGAGTAGCCCGCCACGAAACAGAGCCGGAACCAAGGCTGAAGGTGTAACCCTGTGACGACCGCTGCGTAGCCTGGTCGTCAGCCCAAGAAGCGTCTGCGTGCCCAGTGAGGACCACTGGACTCCTCCCTCCAAGCACTAGCCCCATGCCCGACGTACTGCACAAGTAGCGCAACACCCTCTTCGCTGCAGCCATGTGCTCTGGTCGGTGTCTCCCAGGAGAAACATAGCGTGCAAGAATGCTAAGAGGGTAAGCAAGGTCAGGTTGTGTGCAGGTCATCAGGTACATGAGGCAGCCAACAAGCTCTGGATACGGGCCACTCGACTCTACGGACTCATCCGAAGGCAGAGCCGAGAGTGAGTGGCGAGTAGGTAGAGGAGTGGCCTGAGGCGAGGAGTACGTGAAGCTGAAGCGCTGAAGGACCTGCTGCACCATGTGTGACTGAGTCAGGGTAATGGTGCGGCGTGCTCTGTCCCGGGTGATCTACAAGCCAAGGTAGCTGCGCAGTTCACCCAGGTCAGTGCACGTGTGTCTCTTCTGCAGCTCGGACTTCACGTAGGTGAGTCCAGCAGTGTCAGCTGTGGCAAAGACCAAGTCGTCGACGTACACGAGGATGTAGAACGGCGGCAGAGAGGTGCCGGTGCGCAGAAACAGCAATGGGTCAGCAGCAGAAGGAGCAAACCCAAGAGCCGCAAGCGTAGTCCTCAGTGTGTCGTGCCACTCACGTGGCGCCTGGCGGAGACCGTAGACTGAACGCCGGAGACTCCACTGGGTACCAGGAGGGAAAGACCCAGTGAAGCCAGGTGGGCGGCGCAGCCAGATCTCCTCGTGCAGGCTGCCCTGCAAGAAAGCAGTGCTGAAGTCGAGAGAGTGCAGCTCGTAGTCACGGTGAGCAGCAACGTGCAGCAGAACCCGAAGAGTGGTCATCTTCGGGGTGGGGGAGAAGGTCTGAAAGTAGTCAACTCCCTGCCGCTGACTGAAGCCACGAGCCACGTAACGCGCCTTGAAGACAGGCAGAGAACCCGGCGGCTGCTTCACCCTGAAGATCCACATGCCATTGACGATGTTCGCCCCAGGAGGGAGGTTAGCGTCAATGTAGGTGCCTGTGGACTTCAAGGAAGCCATCTCTGCATCCATAGCTGCCTGCCACTGAGAAGAGTAGGGACCCTCTATCGCCTCCGCGTAAGAGCGCGGAGTCGGGATGTCAAGTGCATCCGGGTCTCCCTCAGGGGTAAGCAGTACGGACACGAGATGAGGTGAAGCAACGGCCAAGTACTGGAACTCCTCCTACCTGTCCTCAAGGACGTCCGTGCCAAGGGCACACTCACACCCGACGGACGGAGGACAGACAGACTCAGACTCAGCGACAAGACTAGCAGCGTAGTCTAGACGACAGCGAGCAGCAAAGTCTACAAGCTCAGCAACTAGGGCAGACGCAGCAGTGGACTCAAAGGAAGGGTCAGTGACGAGAGTAGCAAGGAGACGCGTGACAGTAGGACTGGCAGCACGAAGAGAGGCTGACTTCGGGTCGGCAAGAGCAGGAAGAGAAGACTCAGGAGGAGAAGGTAAAGGGGCACGCAGAGGAGCGGTGGACGGACGCAGAGACATCTGGTGCGTGCCAGGGACAGGAGGAGGACGCTGACGCGAACCACGACCACTAGCGCTAGCAGCATGGACAGGCGACGCAGGGCGAAACGCAGCCTCACGGCGCTCAGTAAGACTTCCAATAGGACCAGCGTAGGGAGAAGGAGCAGGTAGTGGGGAGGCCGGCTGCAACGGTAACTGTGACGGGACAGGCTGTGGACACGCTAAGGGGGGATGACCAGGAGGAGGCGAGAGACCAAGAACCTGCTGAAGGAGCGGTACGAAGTACGACCGAGGCCGCGCGGCGACTCCAGACCCAGCAGGGACAGCACCAGCACCCCCA